AAATTGAGGAGTGATATGGGTAAGGTTAGTGTCAGGTGTGGTGGCATGGGTAGGTTAAGGGGTAATGGAAGGGTCAACATTAATTACAGCTCTTATTGTATTTTCAAAATATAAGTACAATGTAAAAACATGTCTGCACACAATAAGTCCATTGCATCATCAAGTACACAGTACTTAAAGCCACTTAATATAAAGTGGGACTGAAAAAACTTTATATCTATCAAACATTTATATTGAAAAGTGTCACAATTTCCACAAAAAATATTCAGCACAACTGGTTTCATCATTTATAATAATAAGAAATGTTTCTTGAATAGCAAATCAGCATAATAGAATTATTTCGGAAGAAATTACACTTTAAAATATATTCAAACAGAAAAAAAAATATTAATTGAATGTTAACAATTTTTCTCAATATACTGTTTTTAAAATGTATTTTTGATCAATGATGGAGCTTTGTGAGCATAAACGAGACTTTTAAAACATTTTAAAACTCATACCGACCGCAAACATTTCAATGGTAGCATGCACTGCTGGGTTGCGTCAACCCAAATTTGGGTAAAATGTGGACAAACCCAAATGTTGGGTTAAAAATGCAATTAAAAAAATTACAGTTGAAAGTGAAAGTTGGGTCAAAATTTGAAATGACATTTTTAACCCAACATTTGGGTTTGTCCATATTTTACCCAAATTTGGGTTAAAACAACCCAGCATTTTTTAGAGTGTATGGACGAATTATCATCCACCATGTTTCTATGCTTTTTTATTATTATTTAGGTAATAATTTATATTGTATTGCATTTGCACCATTTTTTAATAAAGTCCCTCAAGGCTGTGGATTGGTGCCCTTACACCTTTACTGTAATGCTTTAGACTACAATCCAGGTATAACTAATCACTGAGTTCAGTGCAACTAACAAAGACAAATAGTGTCTACATTCCTCCACTGTCTCCAAGTGCACGAGTTAGCCTAGTGAGCTTCAGCACTTCATAGCTCATTAGTGCTGAACAGATGCTGGGGAGAAAGTTGGCACGCAATAAGCCCTCTCTTCATATTGCACTGATCTGTGAGAGATAGCTCACCAATGAGGGATGCCTCACGCTGACAGTTGGCAGATGAAGTTAATCAAAACGGATTAAAAAAAGAATAAAGGAGAGGCAACAAATCTGACATCCTTGATAGGGTATAATAATGAAATAAATTATCATATTCTGACAGCACAAAGTTAGCGCCGACAACTCCGAATGACAGCCACCACATAAATAATTGAAGTATTATGAACAACACTTTGACAGTTCACTGCTGCATGAGCTGAAACTAGCTTATGTGGCAAAACTTCATTAGCACTTACGCCATATTGAAATAGATAGTGATCACATTTAGTAGTTACACTGTAAAAAAATATTTTCAAGATTTGTTATCACAACATATTTTCATATTTTGTCAAATCAACTTTATAATAATTTATTTAGTTGAGATAACTTATCATTTTAAATTAATCGCCTTCATTGTATTAACTCACTTTTTCCAGTTCAATCAATTTAAAATGTTAAGGCAACCCAGGTTACTTACTTTTTTAAGTTAAACCATCAATAATTTTTTACACTGTAGTAATCACAACATTTTTTCTTTTGTCAAATCAACTTAAATAATTTATTTAGTTCAGATAACATATAATTTTGAGTTTCTCATGGTTAAATTAATCTCCTTCATTGTATTAACTCAATTTTTCCTTTCAATGAACTAAAAATTTTAAGGCAACCAGGTTACTTACTTTTTTAAGTTAAACCAACAATATTTTTTTACAGTGTACAAGCAGACAGTGGCCCCATTTGGACACTCAAAAATAAAAATGTTGTCATTAATTACTCACCCGTTCGCTCATCTTCGGGAACACAAGAGAGCTTTTCGTCGCTCAATTGACGGCAATTCAACTGAAACTTTGACGCTTCATAAAGATTGTAAAACTAAGGCATATGAATTGAACGCTTGAGTCCAAATTTTCTGAAGAAACACGATCCCTAAAAAAATCTGTTCAACATATAAAGTGGTCGTGTCTCAATTTTGGACTAAACCGTAAAACTCACTGTAAAAAATTATCGTGATTTTATCGGTAAAAGACTGTAAAAATGCTACAGTGAAAAACTGTTAATTGGTTACAGAACCTTTCCTTACTATATACGCTAAATAACTGTGATAGATCTAATAGTAAATTTAATGTAATTTTACTGTAAAATACCGTTAAATTTACACTGTGACACTTCGTATTTGATGTATTTTTGTTGAAATGACTTGTTTCTTCACAGTTTTCTTAGTCTCAGTTATGTACATTAGGGTTTTATATGACATTTAATGTTGTTAAATTAATGTTTATTGGTGTTTAATGTTTGAGTGAATGACTGTGCAGCTTTCTATATTAAGTTTCTTGTGGAATGGCTTCATGTGATGAGCTTCCATATATCATGTGACTCATCACTTCTGTGATTATTGGTTGTCGGTGTATCACAATGGTACAGATATTAATACTTAAATTAGTCGATAATTTAACATTAAATCAGATAATAAATATGGTTTATTATGGTTATTTTCAGTTAAGACTGTAAAACCTTGTTACCGTAAAGTATTTTGTACGGTAAATTTCTGGCAACCACAACTGCCGGTATTTTACCGTAATTTGAACACATTTTTTTTACAGTGTACAAATTCGTTTTACGATCTCTTTATGAACCTTATGAAGCGTAAAAGTTTCAGTTGCGTATCTGTCTAGAAATCTCTCAGATTTTATATAAAAAAAATGTTTTTTGTTCTGAAGATGAACAAAAGTCATTTGGTCAAATTGACCATTATGCCCGCTGTTACAGATTTGCAACATACCAAATTGACCATTATGCCCGCTGTTACAGATTTGCAACATACCAAATTGACCCCAAATTGACCATTATGCCCGCTGTTGCAGATTTTCAACATACCAAATTGACCATTATGCCCGCTGTTGCCGATTTGCAACATACCAAAATTTTGATTTATTTGTTGTGCAAAAGTGAAATTGATAATCTCAACATTATTTACCATCTACTTAAAGGCAAAAACACACATAAAACATTTTTTATATATATATATATAAAGCTATATAAATTCAGACGTTAAGGGGTTAATGATGGTCTGACCGTGCATTATATAGATACTGTATCAGTTTAAAAAATATATATATAATATGGGGGACGGATGCATTTTATTGCATTACAAACACGGCACTTTGTCAATTTGTGAAATCTACAGTTTGGCATTAAAAATGTACAAAGATTAACTGCAGAATCAGTATTTACTGTTATAAGTAGGACATTCATAGACAATAAGAATGCCCTCAACATGAAGTTTAAGTTTGAAAGAAATGCTAGATGCAAGACACATATAGACTCGTCGCATTCTGGCTTTTTAATCCGCTAAAGCCAACAACAATTTGGACAAATTTGCACTGCGTTTGGTCATGGAGGTGATAAAAGGTTGAGATGAACAGCTGGTACCTGAGATGCTGATCTGATAGCAGTGACGGCTACTCTCCCACCAAGACACCTTGGCCATCCAATCTCACTTCACCATCAAACTCTTATTACAATAAAACCCTAAACACCAGCAGAGGGGGAGGGCTGCATGGGGGACAAAAAAAAAGATGACCCAAAATGCCCTTTTTATCTCTCCATAAGGAGGAAGACAGATCCTTCAATAGGGCTAAAATAGTTGGAGAAAAGAAAATGCATAATTTATCATCACCATATTATCGGAATATCCAGGCGGGCTAATAAAGAGAGTGCGGACTGACTATTCCTTGTCTTATCAGGCCAAGTGGAGGATGGGGGGAGGGATTATCAGGCTGGAACAGACTGCTGGCCCGGAATTCTAATGGTAATAATGGGGTCTCTGATGGTATATCTTCCCCAGCTTATCTAGCCCATTATCTGCCCTTATCGCCACAGTCATCGGGGCAAATTAATGGAGCTCTTTCAGTGCTCTGGCTTTATCAGCCTCACAGAGGGCACACCAGAGAATGGAATAGGCAAAATATGAAAATCCAGGGTGAATCGCCAGGGTTCAGATAACAGGGCAAAGTGCATTCAATTGGGAACAAAATGTAACAAAAAAGAAAAAGAGAGGAACGTCTCTACCCATAACAACCTCTTTGTCCTTTGCTATGAGCAGGTGCTCCGTACAGGTGCGGCTGCACTCTCTAGCCTACAGTCGTTGTGCTAGTGTTTCAAATCACTCCAGAAATATGTGGGACACGTCTGCAGATTGAGATATCACAACAACTGCCTTCTGTATAATGCAGACCTTGAAAAGATATGCCGGGACAGTTTCAGCAATATAAAAACTCCAGTGACTGGAAATAAATTACGTGCTTTGGAGAGCTGTGTTATTTCAAGTCTGCTTCAATTAAAAATTGAATTTCCTCCAAGTGTCAACTAAAGGTCTCCTCTCTAGTACCGAGATGCATTAACTAACAAATAGTTGCTACTTTGCAATGTCTGCCTTATTCAAAGAAGGGTCATAGCGTGCATTATTTTCACTCCAAATACAATTTATTCATTAGGCTACATTGATTTCTCAAACAATAGATAAATGTAGTTTTTTTTTTTCCCTAAATAGTGTAATATACTTCTCAGTTTATTAAAAGTAATAATAATGCACTTTGTTTATACTTACACAAACATTGCATGCAGCCATTCAGACAAATCAAGAGTTGCACGCAACATGTCAAACTTTCCAAAGAGCTCAAAATGTACATTTTCTATAGGCTAATATACAAGAAGAATTCGTTTTTTCATGCATTGAAACAAAACAAGCCTTTGATTTACTGATCCACACCTGACCGCTCCGATCAATCAATCGCTTGATCAACAATGCATATCAAATCTGTTTAAAAGAGACGTCTGTTTCAACTTTATCTGCATTAAAACTAATATAGACAACTGAGTAAAAAAGCACGCGTTGGCAAACTCACGTTTGAACTGCTTTGGGTTGCTCTGTTTCCTCCGGGACATTCCTGCTCCGCGCGCTGGACTCGAGATTAAAATTTGATACTGCGATTCATCCAAACACAGATAAACGCGCTGTGTGTAAGACTCGGGTGTGTCTGATTCCAGTGAGGGTTCGTTGGTGTCGTCGTGTAGAGGGTTAAGTTGTGTTGTGATCCGAGCGCACACTGACAGCGCAGATGAGCGCGTGTTGTGCTTTTGTTGCAGGAGGTTTGAGCACAGCAGTGCGCCGTAGATCTGCAGCGGCACACACACACACACTCCACACACTCCACACACTACAGCCGAGTCACATTCACTGCACTGTAGTATTTCAAAGCTTTTTTTCGTCTTCTTCTTTCCTCTCAGGATTTTTATCAGGTGTAAATACCGTGAAATTAGAACTTTCTGGATTCGTGGGAGTTTTGTTTCGTTTTAAAAAGTGTTACAGCTTTTGGTTTTGATAATCATTAATATCTTTAGAACAACATTTTAGGTGCTAAAAAGTACATTTTAGTTGCCAATATGTACATGTTATGTCCTAATATGTACATTTTAGGCGCAAATATGTTCATTTTAGGTCCTAATATGTACATTTTAGGTGCTAATATGTATATTTTAAGTGCTAATATGTACATTTTAAGTTTTAATATGTACATTTCAGGAGCTAAGTACATTTTTAGTTGTTAATATGTACATTTTAGGTGCTAATATGTACATTTTAGTTGTTAATATGTACTTTAGGTGTTAATATGTACATTTTAGGTGCTAAAAAGTACATTTTAGTTGTTAATATGTACATTTTATGTCTTATATGTACATGTTAGGCGCAAATATGTTCATTTTAGGTCCTAATATGTACATTTTAGGTGCTAATATGTATATTTTAAGTGCTATTATGTATATTTTAAGTGCTAATATGTACATTTTAAGTGTTAATATGTATATTTCAGGAGCTAAGTACATTTTTAGTTGTTAATATGTACATTTTAGGTGCTAATATGTACATTTTAGGTGCTAAAAAGTACATTTTAGTTGTTAATATGTACATTTTATGTCTTATATGTACATGTTAGGCGCAAATATGTTCATTTTAGGTCCTAATATGTACATTTTAGGTGCTAATATGTATATTTTAAGTGCTATTATGTATTGTAAGTGTTAATATGTATATTTCAGGAGCTAAGTACATTTTAGGTGCTAATATGTACAGTTTAGGTACCAATATGTATATTTTAGGTGTTAATATATACATTTTAGGTGCTTAAATGTATCACTAAGGTACCAATATGCAGCCTTTGGGTACAAAAGTGTACCTTTTAAAAAGGTACAGCCCCAGTGACAGCTTTTGTACCTTTTTTTCTGAGAGTGATGCATGCTATTTCTATACAGCATTGCGAGATTTGCAAATGTTGTTAATTTATGGGATGCTATGACTGGAAAAATCTACATTTTGGTAAAATGTGCAGTACTATGCAACAGAGGCCACTCCTGATGTAATGCCATATAGACCGTTGGTCCTGCAAGACATAAATCAAGCGACCATTTGAGACAGGGACAGAGTTTACTTTGTGCAACACTATCCCACAATGCAATGCACTCACTTTTACCTTCCCAGTGTGAGAAAGAACTGGAAAAATAACAACCATGATTTTTAGTATGTCCTTGTTAACTGTCTGATTGATCAGACTAAGAGATAAGGCTATTTTGCATAAAATTTGAAGCAATGCCAATTGCTGAATTCAACATGCATGCACACTACTATTTGAAATGTCCATAGATGCTTCTGATTACTTTCTGAGCTGACTCAGAATGGGTAAAAATGTTGAAATTTCAATGAATATTGGTTTATAATATATAAACCTAATTATTAACCTATTATCATATCACCCTTGTGAAAAAGAAGTGCACTTAATTGTATTGAATGTATACACATGCTGTACTGTACTTTCGTGCTCTTTCATGATTGTTTCTTAACACAAAAGGACCGTTTTTTTGTATAGTGTCACATTTAAAGTTTTACTTTAAAGTACTTTAAATTTTAAATAATTATACTTAATTGTTTGTCCTGCTTTAAATATTTACACTTATTTTGATGTCTAACATACTAAAGCACATGTAAAGGATGTGATTATAATTTGAACTGAAGTGCATTATTCAATATTACATGTACTGAATAGCAATTTTATCATTTCAAATATAATTTTTTCACAATTATTTGCCTAAAGCCTAGAGAAAATGTCTAAGTTGTATTTAAGAAATGTACAAATACAAATCATGCAGTTAGTTAATACTATATTAATTTACGGCAGAAATAATGAACTAATTGAAGTATTTATTACAAGTTTGGGAACAATGATTACAATCTATGGAAAATGTAGCATTGGTGCATGTTGATTCAGAGTTTGCATCATTAGTATTCATGGATGTTGGGTATCTGAAGGCTTCATGAGAGGCTGGATCCAAACTGGAGTTGACATACTCTCTAATTACCTCAGGATGGACATCCTGAGATAAAAACAGAGAAGCAAATGAAGAGAAAAAAAGCATAGCTGCTGTTAATAACATTAGGCAAAGTTAATTGTGTGCATTTGATCTGAGATAACTGGAGCACAAATTGATGAGATGCTTTATGTGAATTCTCTTCTTGTTTATTGAGGATGCAGGACAACCTCATTTTTACATTAATTTAAATACTTGATATGCAAGTTACAATATTTTTTTTTTTAGTTTACCTCAAATGTTTGCTAGTCATTTGGCAGATAGGAGTAATTATGAAATAACAAAGATGTACTTAAAGGGATAGTTCACCAAAAAAGTAAAATTCTGTCATCATTTATTCATCATGTTGTTTTAAACCTGTATGAGTTTCTGTGTTCTGCTGAACACAAAATAAGTTATTTTAAAGAATGTTGGTTACCAAACGGTTTCTGGTCTTGCCTTAGCAACATTTTTCAAAATATCTTCTTTTGTGTTCAGCAGAAGAAAGAAACTACGTAAATGATGACAGACTATCCCTTATAGTTCTACCTAAGTGGGTCAAAAAACATTCTAAAGTTCAGCTACTTGAATTTTATTTTAAATTTAGCTATAATACATTTTCATTCGGTTAGAATTTTGCAAGTAATTAATAGTCCAAAAAAAAAAATTGGATTCAGTTGTGTCAAGTGTAGGCCAACAACAAACTAAAATTCTTCCAAGTGTCTCACCAAAACAGTCAGTTTTGTTTGTAATTTAAAGTATAGATGCTGAGATTTAGCGCAATGGGAATCATGTCTTCAATCTAAGGCTCAACTAAAGGATTTGCAACTCTCTTTTTATGGGAGATATCAATGGAGAATTCCAGTTCCATTGAGACGCGGGAACGAGCGTGATAAGGGTGGGGGCGCGCCAGAGATGGATTAATTATGAGCGAGCATAGAAAGCAGGCTTATCATCACTTAGCACAGGAGACAGGCTCACACGATCACAGAGCACGGATAAGACGGGAACAATGTGATGCTACCTTACAACCCATCGCCTTACTTTTTTATAATTAAAAACTAACATGCAATTATGCCCGTATCTTGCTCAACCGAGAGGGCGATGTAAATAACTGTGCTGTAAAATGATGGCAGGGGAAAGACAGTCTATAAAACACAGAGGACAGAATGACCTCTGAGAAAAAGAAGATACAGAATGGGTGAAAGTGCATGCAACACTCTTGCAGTAAATCACAACCACTTAACCTTTAATTCTTATAAAACAATAACACTTCTTCATGGTTCTTTGAATAGGTTCCTGTCAATAAGCATTATTCACTCTGTAGGATGTTTTTGAGTTGATATTTATTTGGTGGGTATGAGTTATTGGTGTTATATTCTTCAGGACAAACTATTTCTGGGTTCTTTAAAACACAAGATCACATGCAGTCATCCAGTCCCTATCCGAAAGCATGTGGATGCCCCAGTTCACCCCAAACTAGCACCATTCACATACCTCACATACCCAAGGGTTCGAAGTCCTCCAGATCATCCAAAATGGCCAGGGGGGAAAATCTGGCGAGTCCTGCCAAGTCCGAAATCCACATCAGCCCCGCAGAGCCTTAAATCCACGTCAGCCCTCCCGAGCCTGCATTCCGCATCAGTCTTCCCAAGCCTGTCAACCCAGCCACCAGATCAGTCTATGGATGTCCAGGGTTGATTTCCAGCGTGGCCAATCTCCCGCTGATGTCAGTGTGTGCTGCCAAATAGACCATCCAGCCAGAGCCTTCGTAACGCTGAGCCTTCATCTCTGGTCCCATCCCAGAGCCCTCGCTTCACGTCAGCCATGCCGAGCCTGCGGTTCACGTCCCGTCTGCCCAGCCAGAGACTGTTCACGTCCCGTCTGCCCCGCCAGAGACTGTTCCCATCCGCCCGCCAGTTCCAGAGACTGTTCACGTCCCGTCTTCCCAGCCAGAGACTGTTCACGTCCCGTCTTCCCAGCCAGAGACTGTTCACGTCCCGTCTTCCCAGCCAGTTCCAGAGACTGTTCAAGTCCCGTCTGCCCCGCCAGAGACTGTTCAAGTCCCGTCTTCCCAGCCAGAGACTGTTCACGTCCCGTCTTGCTAGGCAGAGACTGTTCATGTCCCGTCTTCCCAGCCAGTTCCAGACACTGTTCACATCCCATCTGTCCAGCCAGAGACTGTTCACGTCCCGTCTTCCCAGCCAGAGACTGTTCACGTCCCGTCTTCCCAGCCAGTTCCAGAGACTGTTCACGTCCCGTCTTCCCAGCCAGAGACTGTTCACGTCCCGTCTTCCCAGCCAGTTCCAGAGACTGTTCACGTCCCGTCTGCCCAGCCAGTTCCAGAGACTGTTCACGTCCCGTCTGCCCAGCCAGAGACTGTTCACGTCCCTTCTTCCCAGCCAGAGACTGTTCACGTCCCGTCTTCCCAGCCAGTTCCAGAGACTGTTCACGTCTCTTCTTCCCAGCCAGAGACTGTTCACGTCCCGTCTTCCCAGCCAGAGACTGTTCACGTCCCTTCTTCCCAGCCAGAGACTGTTCACGTCCCTTCTTCCCAGCCAGAGACTATTCACGTCCCTTCTTCCCAGCCAGAGACTGTTCACGTCCCTTCTTCCCAGCCAGAGACTGTTCACGTCCCTTCTTCCCAGCCAGAGACTGTTCACGTCCCGTCTTCCCAGCCAGTTCCAGAGACTGTTCACATCCCATCTGTCCAGCCAGAGACTGTTCACGCCCCGTCTTCCCAGC